AAATTCTATTTTAAATAACTTCACTATATATCTTGAATCTTCTGTATGAATTTTTCTAATACTATATCCTGACTTTTCTATATGAATTATCTAGATATATTACATTACATAACTAGAAGATTATAAAAAGTCTTAAACAGGTATTTTAACAATAAAATTGAAGTTTTGATGTATTTTAAAATGATAATTAATAGATAATCTAATAAAAAAATAATAATTAGTTATAATAACTTAAAATACAAATATCTATCAATTATGAATGATAAAAAAAAAGAATATAAAAGAAAATAAAAAAAGTTTAAATAATAAGGAATCTCTAAGAGATTTATTTTTATAAAGAGAATATTAAAAATATATTATGATAAATCAATAAGTGGATTTTTACTTGAATTTATCTTAATAATATAGGATTGAAAGAGACTGAAATAATTAAAAATAAAGAAAGAGAATTAGACTATACTTTCAATAATGATAAAGATTTCTAAGATCTGTACTAATATTTATGGATATTGTCTTTATAAAGAGCAAATTAAATAAAGAAAAAATAAAATAAATCAAAAAAATTATAAAGATCAGCTTAGTAAAGTTACTAGTAATTAATATAATTCAAGATTTAAGATAGTTAAATAGTAAAATTATTATTAATCAAAGAAAACTATAATTAAAAAAGATAAAAACTAAAGTATGAAAATTAAATAATTAAACAAAAAGGGTATAACTTATTTATAGTAGAGATTTTCTATTCTTAAAAAATAAAATAAAAAGTATAATTTATTTATAGTAGAGATCTTTTACTTTCAAAATAATATTAAAAATTAAAAATAAATATAATATTATAATTCAAAATTAAAATTAATTTTATATAGTCAAAGAAATAAAACTGAATGAGAAAAAGGATACTAGTATAATTAGAAAAAGAATTTTGTAAAAAGATTACTATTACTATAATAAGTTTTTAATTATATTTTTTAAATAAATCAGTTCAAAACTATTTATTTCAAGCTGGAATAGCAGATCTTTTTATATATTTTTTTTGAATATATAAATTATTATAGTATTACTAGCTAATACTATCTAAATATACATATTATAATTAAAATATTATAATTTAAATATTAATATCTTGAAATATATATATCAAAGAATCTTAAAAGATATTAAAAAATATCAAAAAATATTAAAGAATATTGAAAAATATTGAAAAATATGAAAAAAGATATTGAAAGATATAAAAAGATATTAAAAGATATGAAAAGATATTGAAAATTATAAAAAGATATTAAAAGTTATAGAAAGATATTTGTGATTAACATTTCAAATATAACTATTTTATCAAAATTAAAAATGATCTTCTATTATACTATTCTACTATGTATATGAATATTATATTATAAGTAATTAAAAAATATAGATCTTGAATAAAAATAAGATATAATATTTAAAAATAGAAATGTGATAATAAATATAATAATAAAAATAAATATATAATATAAAAATAGGAATATTTATAAAATAAATAAAAATTATAGAAAAATATGATTTCGCATAATTAAGAAAAGATTATGAAATTAAGAAATTTTATATCACTATGGTAACAATATGTTCAGTTAATAATTACTTTTCACATAATATGAATAAATTATATAATATAATTCAGATCAAATTCTAAGTCATATGAAACTATAGCTTTAGTAAATCTCCAAAAGAAGAAAAAGTCAAATAAAGTTATTGCCATAAAATATAATAGTAATTGTTAGAAATGGATATATTAATTATCTGATTGGAATATTAATTATTTTGTTTGGTACAAAATATTCTATACATATGATAAAAAATGAATTTTATTTACTTATTCTATATTATTTTTAAAGGCAAACTATTTCAATATTCTAAGAAAAATGGTAATTTTAAATATACTCTCCTGTATTTTTAATATTAATGTTGTAACAAAAAAAATTTTAAAATAATTTTCTTTCAAATTCAGTATATTGAATTATTATACTAGTATATTACTAGTGGAGATTGATAAAATTTATGTTTTTCAGTACGTTAATCAAAGCAATGAAGAATTTTTAGCCATGATAAAAAATAGAATATATTCCAATACGAAAAATTAACTTGGAATAAATTTATAATATTATTTATAATTAATGTTCTCATTCTCATATTGTTGATTTGACTTAGCATTCCAACAAATATAGAAATCTAATCAAGAAATTTATGGAGTGCTTCTCCCTATAGTATATCTGCTGTACACATAAAAATTTTTTGAAATTCAGGCTCATAGAATGTCTGCAAAAAAAATGTAATCTGAAAAAGGCATGGAAACTAATATGATAAAATTATATACTGAAATAAAATTAATCAAGAAATTTTAAAATTAATAATGAATTGACTGAAATATTCTTGTAAAATATTTTCTTACGTATTCCGTGATCTTAATGCTGTGTTTTTAGAGTGACTTGTTCTAAATCTAATTGTATCAGAAACAAAAAAGCCATTTTTCACGTTAGAAATTTTCATTTTTTACCTTTCTTATAAATAAATCCGAGTGATTTTTTGACATAATCTGTTGACTATTTCTATTTATTTTTTTCATGATCACACATAGGAATTACATAGCAATAGTCCAATACTTTACCTCCTTTTGCAAGATATTTATTATCGTTAATCTTTCAAAAGGTATCTATCTATTCGAATATTCTGTGATATTTATTAATTTTGTTGCATTCTTCATAAATTCGTTTGCAACATTCCTCATATTTTTAACAATATTCGCATTTATTACAATTAAGAGTATTCAATTCCATCTTTTAATAGCAATAGGATATTGTCGATTAAATAAAGTTTTGATCTAATAATATATTATAGGCTCCAAAAATAAATACTTTATCGTTATTCTATATAAATGAGAACCATTATTTTATCATATATATGAACTCTTTCAATATAACAAATATAAAAAAAGAACGACACTGAACTTGACTTAGAGAGGTTGACGGATAATGAATATTAATATTCGGTTGGTATACGCGTAGTAACACACACATAGCAATATATGTTCTCCATCCCCCAGTAAATATGTGTTGCTATGTGTATGCTGGGGGGATGTAATGTATTGTCATATGTATTGCTAGTAATTGAGCCCAGAAAGAGTAAAAAGACTAGTCATACGGGATATTCTGAGGAAAAAAAACGAGAACCATATGGAACCTTCCAAAAAAATTGAAATTACAAAAAATACAATATTTATTTTTTTATTTAAGTAAGTTATGTTTACTTCATGTATTGCTGATTTGCATATCATCGTCTCAGAACATTTGAAGTTTACTAAAAGATTGAGATTTAATGATAATATTGAGAAGAAATATAATAATCCAATAATAACAAAAAACATCAAATGAAAGTCCATCATCATTCCCCATATTTCTTGACATACTTTGAAAGGGCAAGAAAAAGAAATAAATATTTAGTCTATTCCGGAATTGTTGCGCTCGCGCATATTGTGCTTTGGACGGTAGTCACTTTGAAGTTTATATATTGGATGGTTATTTCAGACATACAGCGTTCACTTTTTTCAAAACACATGGAGCAATAATATGTGAAGCAACTAAAAATATAAATATTTACTTTATTCCAGGATTGCTATGTTTCGTTGTGTTTTGGATGATGATTATTTCAGAAGGTTATACTTCGGATGGCAATTACTTCATATATTTTTGCTTTGCATACTGTCAAACTTCAGGAAGGAAAAAATTATTGTTATTGATAGAAATAAAGAAGTAAAATAAATACTTAGTATATTCTGGATCGCTATAAATATCAAATGAAAAGGTTACAAAGATCAAACTTCAAATACAAACATATAACTTCATAAAGTATACACCATCTATTTTTCAACTGGTCCACTTTAACTGGTCTATAAATCCAATTATCAAAGAGTCAATAATCTTTGACGACTTGGTACATACCTTGGGAAAGATAATACTTCTTAACCAACTGTAAATGCTACAATAATAAAATGAGAAATAGAACGAAATTTTAATGAGAAGAACTGTAAATGCAACTATTCATACCTCTTTTAATTCAACCAAAGCGTTGATAGTTTCTGATGACTTGATATATGCCTCAGGAAAGATAATACTTCTCGACTGACTTTTAGCCGCATTGTTTGAATGCTAATAATAATAAAATGATAGAGTGATATTATATTATAACCTCATCTTTAGTCAACATGATTAAGCTTGAATAAAACTTCTCAAAGAAATAACGATATTATCCCAAATTACGTCGAAAAAGAACTTATGAAGAAACAGTCTTTGGATGGTAATTTTGGTGCTTTTTAGTAATTTTTTAAAGTATCATTTGAAATAATAATACGTAACAATACATCATTTGAAGCATAACGACAACGAGTAACATTTTATTAGCCAACTGAAAATCGTAACGGTAATTTTTTGAATGCCCCATGCAGAACCGGCCCCAATACACAGATCAGCAAATGATTGCTACAAAAAAAATGACATAGACAATCTCGTGTCAGCAGGCAGCCAGACAGTTGCATCATTACGTAACTTTAACTTTGGTAATAAAAATAAAAATCTCTTATTTCACACTGATTTGTAATGAGTAGCATTTTATTAGCCAACTTTTTGATGTAAAGTGCATCACCCGATTCAAATTATATAGTAAAACATATAAAAAATGACTAAATATATTTTAATATTATATACATGTATATGATATATTATATATATCATAATGATAATCATTGAAAATCGTAACGGTAATTTTTTGAATGCCCCATGCAAATAAATCAGTTTCAAGTGAATCACGTCTATTATTAGTACATGTAGATGCCCCAGACACAAATCTAACACAGATCACCAAATGATTGCTACAAAAAAAATGACATCGTGAGAACCATAAAAAAGTATAAATAAATTTATTCACCCATTGACTAAAATACCACTTTTTTTATCCACCACTTCATTTTCTTAATGGATAGGGAAACGAAGAACCTCGTTTTACGTAATAAACATAAAACATATGTCCTCGAGCGACACCTGAATAAACACCAGGGGTTGCATCCCAGAGCACCGGTACTGGGAGAAGTAAACGGTGAACAAATCTTTCCGCGCGAATGCGTTAAGGAGGTATTCATAAAAATTTCTGTTCTTTTTTGAAAGATAATTATTAAATCAATTGTAATTTTAGTTGTTCACCGTTGAACAATGGTTAAAAAAAGCTCGGGAGATAAAGGTAGATGCGGATATCCCATTTTATAACTTTATTAAATTAGATATTGAATATCATTTAATACATAGGCGGGCGAGACGCCTTTTAAATATATAAAATCTCGTGGACGAGCACGAAACCATACTGGGTTATATGGGGAATGGCAAACAGCCCCCTATAACCCGAAACGGGTCATTGATGTATGTATTATTTATTTGCTTTTGTACATAATATATTTTCCGAAGGTTAATTCTTTGCACATTTAGGGTAAGATACCCGTAAATAAGTATGGGACTGTGGACATGTTCAAACCGAGCATGTGCCCAATCGGTGCCGTACATATACCAGGTAAGTTTTTATTTGCTACTTATAAATTTGTTCTATCAATTAATTTTATTATTTTTTATGTAGATCGCGGTACCATCAAAGTCGCAAAAAAACTTGGGATTGAGTTTGCCCAAGCTGTTGTAAGTTTCTTTGAAATTTTATTGATATTCATAAGAACATTTTTTTCAAGTACTTTTCTATTATGCTATACATAGGTTGATCTCAAGTTCCAATCTCGTTATCAGGTGCCTGTAATTAGGGGTATTGTTGTCGCTAAAGAGAATGAAGAACTTGTTCGAGAGGTATTAGTTTTTTTTTCATTATAAAATTGATCATATACTAATCAGCATTCTGGTTTTTGATAAAAGGCATTGGGAAAATATTTAGACATAGCAGCAGCTCAAGAAGCCGCAAGACAAAAAGCCGCAGAGAGAGCTGAAAAAAGAAAGGAACGAGCAGAGAGTGAGATTGAAGATGAGGATGAGAATGAGACTGAGGATGAGGCTGAGGATGAGGCTGAGGCCGAGGATGAGGCTGAGGATGAGAATGAGACTGAGGATGAGGCTGAGAATGAGACTGAGGATGAGGCTGAGAATGAAGAAGAATAGGTAAGGCTAAGGAAGTGATTAAATATGTACACGCATTGTTCAGTATAGTCACAAAAGTATTTGATTTCATTATATTCCAGGTTCCTCCACGAAACCAACCGATTACATGAGGAATTTCTTGTTGAGGAAGGGTTGTATGCTATAATAGGTTTAATAAAATTGAAAAATTGCAGTTGTAAAATTCGTAATTGATGCATTATTCGTGATCTTAATGCTGTGTTTTAGAGCGATTTGTTCTAAATTTAATTGTATCAGAAACAAAAAAGCAATTTTTCACCTTAGAAAATTTTCATTTTTTACCTTTCTTATAAACTCGAGTACTTTTTCGACATAATCTGTTGATTATTTCTATTTATTTATTTTTTTATGATTCCACATAGGAATTACATAAATTCGTTTGCAATATTCCTCATATTTTCGCATTTATTGCAATTATGAGCATTCGATCTTTTAATAGCAATAGGATGTTTCATCTAAATAGATATTGTCAATTAAATAAAGTTTTAGGTTCCAAAAATAAATCTTAATCTTTTTTCAAAAAAAATGAAAATGAAAACCACGTTCTATCCTATATAAATTCTTTAGAAAAGGAAAATGAAAACGAGAACCATTACTTTATCCTATATATGAACTCTTTCAATAAAAAAAGAACGACACTAACCTTGACTTAGAGAGGTTGACGATAACGAATATTAATATTCGGTTGGTATACGCATAGTATCACACACATAGCAATATACACACATAGCAATATATATTCTCCATCCCCCGGTTGCTATGTGTGCTGGGGGATGTATGTACTGTCATATGTATAGCCAGCAGAAAGAATAAAAAGAGAATAGCCATACGGGATATTCTGAGGAGAGAGAATCTTCCAAAAAAATTGAACTTACATATAATATTTTATTTTTTTATTTAGGTATGTCAAGGAATGACGATGGACTTTATTTGATGTTTTTGTTATTGTTGGATTATTATATTTCTTCTCACTATCATCGTTAATCTCGGAACTATTTTCCAAAGCACAAATGTTCTGAAATACGACGATTTGCAAAGCGACAATACATGAAGTAAACATAACTTCTGATATAACCATCCAAGATATAAACTTCGTAGTGACTACCATCCAAAGCACAGTATGCGCGAGCGCAACAATTCCGGGATAGACTAAATATTTATTTTTTTAATTTTTTTTCTTTCTTTTACTAATAATTTTTTCTTTTTCTTGCCTTTCAAAGTCATACAGCGTTCATTTTTTTCAAAACACATGGAGCAATAATATGTGAAGCAACGATCATCAAAGACTGTTTCTTCACAAGTTCTTTAAATTTTGATCCTGAGGCATATATCAAGTCATCAGAAACTATCAACGCATTAGTTGAATTAGAAGAGGTATGAATAGTTGCATTTTGTTATTTACTACAGTTCTTCTCATTTAAATTTCGTCTATTGAATTTTATTATTGTAGCATTAACAGTTGGCTAAGAAGTATTATCTTTCCCAAGGTATCTACCAAGTCGTCAAAGAGTATTGACTCTTTGATAGTTGGATTTATAGACCAAAGTGGACCAATTGAAGAATAGATGGTGTATACTTTACGGAGTTATATGTTTGTATTTGGAGTTTGATCTTTGTAACCTTTTCATTTGATATTTACAGCAATCAAGAATATATTAAATATTTATTTTATTTCTTTATTTCTTTATTTCTAACAATGATAATAATTTTTTCCTTCCTGAGGTTTGCAGTATGCAAAGCAAAAATATATGAATCCTGAAGTATAATCTTCTGAAATAATCGTCATCCAAAACACAGCAATCCTGGAATAAAGTAAATATTTATATTTTTAATTTTGTTGCTTTTTTATAATTTTTTTAAAGTATAAAAATATGCAAAACAACTATCATTTGAAATAATAATACGCAAATTACTTAAATTCAAAAGCCAAAATAACAATACATCATTTGAAGCATACCGACAATGAGTAACATTTTATTAGCTAACTTTTTGATGTAAAGTGCATTACCTGGTTCAAATTATATAGTAAAACATAAAAAAATGACTGATGCAAAAGCTATTTTAATGTATATATATATATATGATATTTTCTTTATAATGCAATATAGAAATCTCTTGAGAACTTGAAAAATATCATGAAAAAGATTAATATCTTTGAGAAATTATATACTTGAATATAATAAAAATATTATATTTTAAATAAAAGAATATGTAATAATTTTGTTTAGATTATTTTTCTTTTAGTTTAGATCTTTATTTTGTACTATCTGTATTATAAATTAGTTTTGTATTACTTTTTAAGAAGATTAATTTTATTCTGAATATATAGATAATCATTATATATTTAATATATTAGATTTAGTATATTATTATATAAATAATTACTATATATATATCTATATTATTAATTTAAATAATTAATATTTTTAATTAGATTTTTCTTTAATAATTCTTTATATTTTTACTTATTTCTTTTTTTATTATTATTTATATTATTATTTATTATATTTATAATTATTAGAATTATAATTAATTATCTTCATAGAAATTAGTATTAAAAAATTATAATATATTTATTTATCAAAAATTTAAATTATTATTTATATTATAAAATTCTTAATAATTATTTATATAAAAATATAAATATCTTATATAGTTATAAATAAATTTTTTAATAAAATAATAATTTTAAAAATACTATTACGGTGAATCGGTAAGTGAATTTTCACTTTGATTCACCCTAATGATATAGGATTGGGAGAGACTAAAATAATAAAAGATAAAGAGAGGGGAATTAGACTATAACTTTCAATAATGACAAAGGTTTCTAA